GGGGGGGGGGCTTGAAAAAGGGTATATACTAGTGTTTAAAACCATAAATACTGTGTTGATACCCTCCATTTACAGTCTTGAGTTAATAATTTATAAATTTGTTAGAAAAACATAAATATCGAATCAGAAAAGATAAAAACTACATATTCCAATTTCAACTCAGAAAGGTTAAACAGGATGTCGATAATTACACTACTACTACTACTACTACTACTACTACTACTACTACTACTACTACTACTACTACTACTACTACTACTTCTACTACTACTACTACTACTACTACTACTACTACTACTACTACTACTACTACTACTACTACTACTACTACTACTACTACTACTACTACTACTACTGCTGCTACTGCTGCTGATACTACTACTACTAATACTACTACATGTCCAAGTTTGTTTATTTGCTTGTTTATTCAACGGATCACCATCATCGCACACGGGTGTTACCCATAAGTGCTCCGTTTTTCTTCTAACTCAAGTCTGAATCTGAAGAATTTCAGCCCAGTGCACGAAATCCGATGCAACGGCGAGGATAATGAAATACTTTTTGGGTAGATTTTAAACTTCAAATTTTGTCGCCATTAGGCTATTCTTTTTCTTTCATTTCCAGTGGCCAAGATATTTTTTGTGTGTGCAGCAATACACACGGGCGTCCAGTCTTACTACCCAGAGACCAGGGGAAATTACTAGAAGTCAACGTGAAAAAATCCCAGCCTTCATCGGGGTTTGAACCCAGGACATCCAGCACTTAAACCTTAAACCTTTACATATCCAAGTACTGCTGCTACTACTACTACTACTACTACTACTACTACTACTACTACTACTACTACTACTACTACTACTACTACTATTGCTACTACTACAACAACAACTACTACTATTACTACTACTACTACTACTACTAAAACTCTTACTACTACTACTACTACATGTCCAAGTTTGATACTAGCAGCACAGTGTTAGTGTGTGAATCTTCAATATACTGTTTATAATCTGTTTCAAACATACTTTTATTTGGATATCAACTCTCAATAATTTAAAAATAATTCCAAATATTTCTTCTTCTTCTTCCTCTTCTCTTCCACATTGTACCTCTGCGAAGTGTCGGGGGGGGGGGGGGGGGGGGGGGAGGGGGGGGGAGATACGACGTTCGTTCGTGAGCTCTGACAAGAGCACTGTTAAGATTGATGTTCATTTATGTAAGTCTGTTCTAAATCCCATCACTCCTTATTTTCCAAGGTTTTCCGCTCGTTCTATCCCAGTTGTTACGTTTCAGTTTGGCTCGCTGTGGTAGATAGTACCAGTAACCAGGGCATTCTTGTTAGGTGTCCAAGCTACTTTATTTGTTGTTCTGTGATGACCTGTAAGAATGGCTTTATTCCTAGCATTCGTCTGATTTCGTAATTTCATATTCTGCCTGACCTTGAAATTCCTGCAGTTCTTCTAAGGCATTTTATCTGTTGTCACAATTTTACGTTCATTAGAGAATGTAAGTGCCCACGTTTGGACTGATAGCGTAGTGTTGGCCAAAAAATAGTTCTGATAAGATCACAGCCTTCTCTAAATAAAGTCGGCCTTGATTTTATTTTTTAATATCCAGAAACCATGAGTTATTAACCCTTTGATAATACCGTATATCTTGGAGAAATGTGGTAAGATTAATATCTCAATGTGGAATTTCCAATATACTCGTGGATCTAAACATAGCAACAGGATATCCCGGTCCATAAGCTAAATATAGCTGGTGTCACAGCAAACAAGAAACAGCAGCAACAAAAATTCCCAGTCACGTTTATTTACCACAATTCCAATTATCTGTATACATTTCGACGAAATCTAAAGGAAAGGACCTTGTGTGTCATCAAGTTTGTATTAATTAACACTGACGCGTCTTAGTCGACACTGCACGAAGCTTACAAACAGAATCGAATCTCAGTGCTGATTTTTCTTGGCATTGATCATTAAAATAGTCTTGTCGTTCTCTATTCTATTATTGTCATCTGATTGTATAGGCCAACAAAGATACAGGTAAGGGAAATAAGGATAAGGTGAACAACTTTATATGTTTAAAAATTATTATTTGCGTTGGAAATATTTTCTGTTAAAATGGATGGAGTAGAAAAATAACTTGTCTTTGGCATTTCACATTTTTTCGACAGTGCATTAACAGATAACAAACCGATATTAATTATAGGTCTATCCTCCGAATAACGTGCACAAAAGATGGCGGCCGCAAAATATCCTTTTGATCCACAGTCACGTGTCATGTGTTGTAAACATTCAAAAATTGAAGTCAAAACTAATAAGGAACGAAGAAAATTTTATATCAAATCGACTACTTACCAATAATTGTATGCCTTTATATCTGGAAATTATGTCACATAATTCGTAGATAGTGCCCAAATATCTGGTGTTTGTGCCTGTAACGCCATTGAAACTCGGCTCGATCAAAACAAGGCACGGCTCGCAGAAGATTGGTAATGCAGCTTTCTCTTTAGTAGCATCCACAAACCAGCTATCCTCCAAATAACGAGCACAAAAGATGGCGGCCAAAAACAGGGCCTCAGTCACGTGTCAATTGCCCACTTCTGGCGACTTAATGTGTGCTTTTCCGGCGACTACCACCGGCGCCTAGAGTGGCCCCCACGCCGCTCACTCATTCTATCATTTGGTCACTACATCTCAAAAGTTGTACCACAAAAACGAGACAGTGGTATTGGCTGTAGAACTTAGGTACATGGCTGTTTAGATGATATGTGTTCCCTTTAAGAAAAAAAAAAAACTGACGAAATGATTCTCATAACCTTAGTTAAACATCTGTTCTGTATTCATTAGTTACATTAGTTGTGTACAGTTAGTTAAATAAGCCAGTAAAGAGAATACTCTAAATATTTACTAATGACATTTGATTGAGCACAGAATATATAGATCTAGAACACTGGTAAAATTGTATGGGTATATTTTATAGAAAAAAATGATTAACCTTTTAATTTGTTTTAATGATATTAATTACAGTACTTTAATTATTTTTGTTGGAATCCATGGAAGTGTTGTTTTACCTGGGTCAGTTTAATTAATTATATTTTGTGTTTAAATTGTTCTCACTCATTTTGAGTGAATATTACTGGCTTTATAACTGATTGATTCATTTATTATCTTGAATAAATGTTATAGAAATTAGGTTCACTTCTATATTAGCACTCTCTCTCTGAGTAGAGGTCAGTGTGTAAGAATGCTGACTGTTCATGTTCTGAAAAGTCACTGATTATGAAATTCCTGTCTTGCTCTGCCTGTCATCTACTCTGGTGTAGACTGACTTAGTTGATTCATTAGGAATTTGTTGGGTTAAATCTTCTTTTTTCATTTGTCTGAGTGACGTAACTGTGCATGTTTACTTCAAAGCTGCAACATTTGTCCCTTTTGGCCAACACATCCAGCTTCATTGGCATTGTTCACCTGGTTAGCCTTTCTGGTTAGTTTCATGGAACATGATGTGGCCTTCCATAAATGCAGAGTTGACCCAAGATGCTTATGTTTTGGGATCACCTATGAGGTCGTCACATCCTGCACATGACTGCTCAACCTCACATCCGTCTGTTGAGCTTCCTGCTAATCACAAGCTGCGCCCTCTGGAGATCATCAGGGAGTAGTCCGCAGGTCCAAGACTTTAACAACCACAAATATTGGCACATTCTTACTCTACAGCATTTTAGAAACCTTTAACATTGTTGCATCTTGAAACCTGGTACAGCAGTACGAAAATGCACGTGTCGGGTGTAGCTTCCTCTGTTTGGTCCCCAACACTGACAAGTGGGAAGAGGGGATAACAGACATCTGAGCCTTTCTGTCAAATAGCAGGACTTTTGATGGTTAGACATTTAGACTTTTCTATTGCGCTGTAGTACATGCGACTGACCCTAATCAGCTGACTGACAGTGTACTATGGTGTAACTCAGCACGGTGACAGCAACATTGAGGGTCAAAAAAAGGATGTACAAAGATTGGACTGTACTGTGAGATACCGCACGCAAGAGATGTTGCTCATCTGACCTGCAAACAAATCTCTTTATCTAGGGCGGAGTCTCAGTAGTTCTTTCGCTCGACAGACAGTTAAATCACAGTTTGTCTTATAGTAGTTCAGTTAGCAGGTTCCAAATGACTTTTCATTAGACATTATCACCCATGCTTTCAGGAGCCAGAGGATTTCAGAACACTATCTCTGGCAGGCCACTTACTCTGAGATCCCCTGCCAGATCGGTTCAGGCCCATATGAACCATTATCTATAGCGTACGACGAGGATTATGGCAGGAGTCTTGCACAAAGATCCATAAGACCAGCACAGAGCCTGCTGGTTCCCGAGGTGAGGTACGGAGCATCTCTTTCTCACCTTGCAACTTTTGTCAAATGAAAGTGATTTTATATCTCTGAGTAATTGGATTGAATTTGTGATTGCAGCAGTCATGAATTTCATGTAGGAAATTGTCACAATCTCACAGGACTGAAAATATCCCAATTCTTTTCACCATACACTGTGGTGGTATATACTGACAGACTGCTACTTGTTGAGTCCTTGTGTACAATCCTCCTGTATCATTGCCAGCCTGCTTTGGACATTTCTTTTTAGGAACAGTATCTCTTTTTTGGGGTCAGAAGGAGAGTTCCTTGGTAATGTAAACCCAATATTTGATGTTTCTTTCTTTTCTATTCTTCTTAATTATTTTTTTAATTTTAAACAATGGACAACATAAATATGATGTCATTTCTCTTCTGAAAATATTTTCAAAATAATTTTTGATGTACATAAAAATAGTATACTTTGACCTACATAGAAATTACATTAATTTAGTTCAGACGTGATATTTGCTTTGAAGTAATCAGTCAGTGATGTCTCTGTATTTATTGTTTGTTACTGTTCAAGTTTATCATTATTTGCTTATTCAACTTCTCTTTTCCAGGTGTGTCTGAAAGTTTGTCTAGAAAACATGGATAGAACTACAAAAGCTACTACACCATCGGAAGACAGTTCACCAACATTTTTGAATAGTTTAGATTTTCCACCTTTGACAGTACAGTCTCGGCCAGATTTGAATATAACACCCACCAGATCAAACATGTCAAACATCACTCTGCTTGTTACTGGTTCTAAAAAACGACAAATGAAGACTGAAGATGAAGAGATATCAGATGAGGACAGTTTATCTGGTTCTCAAAGCTCAAGAAGTGCAAGTTCCTTAAACTCTGCATTATCTCCAGTGAAAAAATTCAGAAAACTTGCATACAGAGAACCTCCACCAGTATTGCAATCATTAGACTCTGATGCATTCAAGACTTTGCTAGAATCACCAACTCTCAGTGACTCTCAGAACTCAGAACTTGGACTGTGTTCCTCATCATGGCAAAGTCAGAGAGCATCTACAAATAATTCCTTTGGGGAAAGCCTTGGTAGTCTGGGAGATATCATCCAGAAGTATACTTGTACAACTTTGGATTCTTTAAAAGGATTTGAGACACTAGATTCTGCCATCAGTCCAACTGGCTGTTCAGATTCACTAAATCTGAAGCAGGGAGATGATGCTGGCATTTGTAAGGATACACTGCAATCAGTAAATGCTGCCACAGAATTTCCAGTGAATGTTCTTTCTTCTAATGCTGCTGCGGGCTCTCTAGTACAAGCTAGTTTTTCACATGGTGAAAGTAAGGTTGCTGTCAGAGAAGAATCGCACAAAAGAAAACTCAATGACAAGTCGACAGCTGAAGAAAGCCAGATGAAGTTAGATGTTAGAAAGGAAAACAGAGACACTAATAAAAATAATAACGATAATGATTATTTTGATGGAGACGAGCAGAAGGAAGAAGACCAACATGCAACAAATGAATTCTTGGAGTCTGATCTGGACCAGTACCAGAAGTGTAAAAAACGTAGACATCATACCAAGTTTTACTCAATTCCCGATTTACAGGTAATGTAACTTCAAATATTAATTATACTGATAATTTGTTGCTCTAATATCATTGAATGGTTATCTCATAGATCCAGGGGTATATGTGTATGAAAGTGGGACAAAGAGTCAGGAGACATACAGATTATTAGCTATATAAAGGGCTCTTTTCCATGCCTTTAGGTGTATTGGAATTGGGCTAGGCCTGTATTTGTATACACCAGTTTCAGCTCTCCCTGGGTGACGTGGTCAGTATCACGCCAACCGCCTTTACTTTCCAAGACTTTACATGATACCCATTGGTGGCTGTCAACCTGGAAGCTTCGGACATTAAAAAAAAAGTCCACTCCATCAGGTCTTGAACTCACGACCTTCCGATCAGCAGGCGAACATCTAGCCAATACCCAAAGTAGCTAAAAGCTGTTTGGGGGATAAAGAAAAACAGACCAGTGACCACAGTCATAACCATGGCTTTGCAAAAGCAGATGAACATAGTCACATTTTCTGTATGTTTCTTTGTGTTCAGTTGAATTGACACTATATAAAAGGCTTAACACATTTGGCCTCTCTCATAAACATTCATCATAGGGTTTCTTTCTTAAGTCCTAATTTCCTCAATCCATTTGTTTTCCATTTCTGTGCCTGCTTTATAATTCTTAGTACACTTCCTCTCAGAATATGTCCAATATACCTATATGTTTACCATTGATACCAGCTTTTGTCCAAACATTTTAATATTTTCTTTTCATTTTTTGGAGGGAAGTCTATCCAATTTAATATTTATTGGTTTCCTCAGGCATTTGTTTTTTTTTAATGAGTTTTCCTTTTGTTTTATGTCTTTAATCTTCACTGGCTTATGTTGGAATTTAAATTGATAATTTTGTTAAAAAAGAAAATGTCTGTACTGCCTGTATTTACCATTTGAGCCGGAGGATTTTAAATGCAGCATGGCTGGTGCAGCAGCTTCAAACTGTGCTAGTTATGATTTTTTTCCCCCATTGTAAACACTAAAATGATGGCTCAGTTTGATGATTCAAAGAACAATCTTTAAATTGTAGCTGTAGAGGATATACAATAAAATTATGGCTCAATTTGATGATTCAAACTTTAAATTATAGCTGTAGAGGATATACAATAAAGTGATGGCTTTGTTGGATGACTCAAAGAACAGTTTAAATTATAGCTGTAGATAATATACAATAAAGTGAGGGCTCAGTTTGATGACTCAAAGAACACTGCTTAAATTATAGCCGTGGATGATATTTAATAAATTGATTGCTCAATCTAGTGACTAAAACATAGTTTAAACTGTAGACAGAATACAATAAAGTGATGGCTCACTTTGATGACTCAAAAAACACAGTTTTAATTACCCCAACTGGCAATTTATCCCTGACTGCACTTTTGTTGTCAGCTGCCTGTGACATTGAGTGTTCTATATTTCACGATGTGAGCACTTTAAACAACCCCAAAACATCCACAACTAACCCTAACCCCAATCCACATAGGGAGTCGCCGTGGCGAGCAGCTAGACGCTCGCTGCCGATCGGAAGGTTGTGGGTTCGCTCCCTGGCGAAGCCGGACTTTTTTTTAAAAATGACCTTGGCTCCCAGGTTGACCCAGCCTTGAGTGGGTACTGGGTGCAGTCCCGGGAAAGTGAAGGCAGCCGGCGTGATGCTGACCACATTACCTATCTTGTGCTGATTGGTCTATAAAAATATAGGTCTAGCCCTATATGCCCTATACGCCTTAAGGCGTGGAAAAGGGTCCTTTACTTTTACTTACTTACAGTCCACCTATGTCCCACAAGAGAGGGCAGCCTAAGTCTGTATAAGGTTTCCTCTGCCCCAGCACACACACACACAAATAGAAACCACCCACAAATACTGAATCCTCTCGATTGCACCAGCACACACACAAATAGAAACCACCCACAAATACTGAATCCTCTCGATTGCACCAGCACACACACAAATAGAAACCACCCACAAATACTGAATCCTCTCGATTGCACCAGCACAAGAAGCACACTCTGCACAGCACAAAACTTAACGGCAAATAAAATATCAAATTGCTAACTACACAATTTATCTACCACCCCCTGAAAAACTAGACTGTCCCGTGACCTGTGGAATTCCCGTGTTTGGGGGGAGATGAAAGTACCAACATAGTTTAAATTATAACCATAGAAGATATACAATAAAATGATGGCTCAACTTGATTACTCTAAGAACAGTTTAAATTATAGTGTAGAGAGTTTACAATAAAGTGATGGCTCAGTTTGATGACTCAGAGAACATAGTTTACATTGTAGCTGTAGAGGATATACAATAAAGTGATAACTCAGTTTGCAGGCTATTAATGTTTACTGATATGTTTCAGTACAGGTTAAGGATCTCCCTGATGAGATACAGCATGAAGACAGTGTGACGTTTCTGAGCTGCTTGTCGCAGCTTGTGGTCCAGATCACTGTCCACTCAACCAGTGCTGCCCGAAAGCCCAGTGACATGTACAGCAGCTACATCGGTACCACACGAAAGAGGTATGGAACTGGCTTTATAGCATCTGTGGATGATGACATCAGGAAGTACAAGTGCAGACGAGAAGGCTGCCCCCATGCAACATTCTGTGAGGATTTTAATACTTCCTTAGATGACAGTGCAAGTATGGCACCACCACCAAGTTTCAGTAGAAGTGAAAGCAATGCCAGTACCAGTTTCAACAGAAGTGTGAGTAACATCAGCACAGCCAGCTCTTCTAGCACTGGAAGTCCAGGGCTGAAGCATTTCTTCTACAGTGGGGTCACTATTCATACCAACAAACATGTCATTTTTGACCAGTCTGAGGCAGAAAATGCTTACGTCAAGTTTTTCTACAACACCCCACAAGGGAAGGAAGTCATCCAGGGCCATGTTGCAGCCATAAGTGGGATCAATAAATCTCAGGATCATGTAGTTCTGCATGTCATGTCACATGAGAGAGCCTTGTTCACTACCGTTAGCCTGTGCTTGCATAATGCAGAGGCCTGCTACAAACAAATGCTCGAAAGCATCAGCAGCATTCAGCGTCCTCTTGATCACAAGAACAAGCATGACTGGGTGGCCATTATTTCCCATCCTCATGGCATGTCAAAGGCTATCAGTTTTGGACGAATCATCAAAGAAATTGCTGAGTATGCAAGAATCATCAAATACTATGATGCTGCAACGTGCCCAGGAAGTTCAGGTGGCTTGGTCATTACTCCATCTTTGTTGAGGTTACAGTGGCCGGGGGCTGTTCACAGTTGTACAGACCTAAATACTGGCTACAATGTCACATTTGATTCCCGAAGTCGAGACCTTGATCCCAATGACACGGATCGCATTCATAAAACTATGATTAGTAAAAAACAGGTTGATCAAGATATCTTTCGGCTGTAATCATACAGCTGATTTAAAAGAGGAAAAGAATGTATTCTTTTTCTTGTATCATACTATATTTATGTACACTGTACATGTAGCGGTGACCATAGAAAATAGTTGGGATATAGTTTTTGTTTGCCAGAGACTTTGAATAAGAGTTCAGGTATCGGAAATAAAAAGGTGGTCAAAGATGAACTTGAAGCTACCATTGTGTACAGTATTTTTGGGTTATGTGTTTTTTTTTTTACTGAAAAAAATATATTTGTGTGTGTGTGTGTGTATATATATATATATGTGTATATAGTAAAAATATTATTGTATGACAATTTGTTTTCCTTCAGATTTGTATAGAAAAGTATGCACAGTTGTCTTGTGTAACCTGTCAATATTATAAAATGTCATATACCTAATACAGTTATAAATATAATTACACTAAATTCACCACACATTGTCTGATTAATTTTTTTATTTTTAATAATGTCATACACTTTAGTGCCATTATAAAGTGGCCTCTTTTTAGAACATCACACCCTAACATGGCCACTGGAAAGCCACCAGGGCGTTTGCAAATTTCCCTGGATCACACCTTTGTATGTCTTCATTAACCAGTGTTTATGTTTGTTCTGGTGGACTTATGCTTCTTTTCCCCAGGAGCCATGCTTACTATACTTGTTATTTCTGAACTACTGTGCCATTTTTATTCTCAGTGCTCCATAAGTTAGTTGCGTGTCCTTTACAGGACGTTGTAGGACACATCCCAGCATTTTTTTTCCTTGGCTCTTTTGTGATTTTACTAGGAAATTTGACATTCAGTAGTTTGCCATTCCCCTGAATGGTCGGCTCTTGATACTACTGTCAAAACCAAAGGACGCTCTTCTCTCAGATCAAAGCCAGCACCTCAGAATTACAAAGCACGTTCACAACACCTAATCCACAGGCAACGACTGGTGCTTCATAACCATGCATTTACTATGACCAAATTTTCCAGATTCTGAGACATGATGCTGTTAATTAGCCATCCTTTGCAATGTTCAGAACCTATAGAATGTTAGTATTTGTCTTCTTTTGATCTTTTTTTTTTTCTGTAACATTTATTTCAAAAACCTGATTTACATATTAAGAGACTGCAAAATAGTCCCTGACACATGCCTATAAGTTGCCACAGGAAGGATGCATGTTCTCAGAATTGTAACTTTGGTTTGTTTGCTGATGTTTTACCATGAATTTTAATGACCACGCTTCTTCCGACTTTCTTTGAACAATTTCCATTGTTAACTTATGAGCTAAGGTATTCAAAGTTTATGTGTTTTTTCTTCAATTTCTTGATTGCTGTTTGTCATTATTGACTGCCTCGTAGTTTTGTCTGAAATACATTATTGTCGTTTTTCCTTCTATTTTTTTTTAAAGTTCAGAAATATATTTTGATTATCACTGTTGCAAGACAAGATAAACAGGACCAGCGATGAACTTAGATATACCATCTTCTTTGTGACCTAGATGGGACTAAACTATAAGCATGGCTGATGCCAAATACAGAAGAACAAGAGAAGATCATCAGTGTAACTTTTTATAGAAAGGATTAACTGTTCCAACTCTATAATAATTTGAGAGGAATTAAATCTGCCATGTTTTAGTGTATTAGAAAGAGTCACAGATCTTCATCATTTATGGCGTTTCTCATTATTTTCTGCATAGATATTGAATAGGTATGGAGAGAGAATGCACGGTTGTCTTACTTTCCTTTTGCATCTCAAATCAGCTGGATGTTTTAGCAGTTATTCTATCAGCTGTTTGTTGTTCATGATATGTTTAATTCAGTTGTTCGTATATGCTATAGATCCCATATCTTTGATGTTCTGCCACAATTTCTAACATTAAACACAGTTGAAGGCCAAACTGATGCCTGCAACAAGTATGATGTTCTGCAATGTATTCTCTGCGTTTCTGAAAGATAAATAAATCTTTATTTAGTCTCATATTTCTTTGCCTTGACTAAACTCCCACTTGAATCTTTCCTTCACTTCTTGTAACTCTTATTCTAGCTTCCTTTCAATCCACTTAATGATAATTCACTAGAGTCACTTATTAATGCAAAAAGTATGATAGTTGGTGCACCATTTTATGTTTTCTTTTTTGTGTGAGAGGTATTTAGATTTTCATTTATGCCTGCATTAGTTCTGCTGATGTTTTTTTTTTTTAGTCTGATGGCTGCCCTTTATTCATTTTTATATTGCTATCAGTGCTATAATAAATGTTCTCATTCTTCCCCCTTTTTGAGGTGTTTCATGTGGAGAGTGTCATAGTTTTCATAGATATTTCCATAGAACTTTTTCCGTCTGGCTAAAATATCTTTACATTCTTTTAAAGCATTGCCATTAATCTCAGTGGGCATACACAAATCTGCATTCTTGTTCTTGTAAGATTTATTGTTTGTGAAATAATAGATAACAATATAATGTGAGATAAGTCAGTGAAAACAAATGGGAAAACAACAGCCCTGAAATGGTATCTAAAAAATGGACTGAAGCGTATAAAAGAACTCAAGAAAAATAGTGTAATCTTCTAAATATTGTATTTTTTTTACTCTGGAGACGGAGCTTTTTTGGAGTTTGGGTGCCAAGATTCTCATAGTTTATGCACAAAAAATTATTTTAAAAACAGAGCTTTTAATTAATATATACAAGACTATATAAATAATGGTGTAGGAAATTGAATACACTAACATAATATTTATGAATCAAACTGAAATCTTAACATTTATTCAAATTAACTATTCCGATTTGCATAATTTGTGCAAGCAAATTTTTTTTTTTAAACTTAGAAACAAACATAACTAACCTGACAAATTTGGGTGAATTTTCTCTATGGATGAAGCTTGAATAAGTCCCTAACACCTCTATTTTGGGAAGTAAAGCCTTTGGAGGCCCTTCAGACACGTTTGGCACATGCTTCTACTCATTTTTCTGCATCTAGCCATGTTTCAATTGCTATGATGCAACAGTCTTTTCACCATTTTTTGGGCACAGGTAACTCCAGAAAAAAATCGATGTAAAATTACAGAACACATCAAACTTTCTCAAAAGATGTCAGTTAACAGCCCACATGGCAGAAATTGCAAAAAGCAGTCTGATTGGTTGGTGCAAAAACATGCCAGCCAATATCAAGGCTTTTATTACACAGGATGGATCGATCGGCCCAGCCGTCCTTCTGGCTTCTTTGCATTGGGCTGATATTTTGACCGCATCATCTCCAGATGGTTAATACCAATCATATCATGTCTAACCCTTCTGGGTTTTACAGTAATGGAGGTAAATATTTTAGTGACTGTTATTAATTTAAATTTTTTTTTAAACTTGAATTTTTGCTAAGTTATATTGTGTAGATTACACACATTGTGATCATGTCATGAAAAATGTGATTTTAATATTGTTTTATTCATCATCATCACCTGTTTGTATATTTACATATTTTCAATTACTGACTTAAATTATTAGTGTTTTATTTTGTAGAATTGATCCCCTGTATACACATTTTTGTTTTTCGGATAAATTGCAAATTGTTAAGAGTGAGAAGCAACTGCGAAATTTATAATCCGTTTATGTCACCACTGATTACTGGCATCATGAGGGCTAATAGACTGCAATGGTTGGGGCATTTAGAGAGAATATCAGATAACAGAGAGAGAGGAATGTGGAGAGATAATATCCAGGCAGACATACAAACACTTGGAGTCACAAACTGAAAAGAGAAGGCCAGACACAGAAATGAATTGTGGTTGGGGGGGGGGGGGGGGGGTGAGGAATATCTGTAGCTGTGAAACTCAAGATGTCTTGCATAATCTTTCCTTGCAGCTCTCTACAGCTATCTTGAAATGTTTTAAATTATTATAGGTTTATTGCAGTGTGTCATACACTCATAAAATGGTATTCTTTTGAGTTCATATTTCTTGCACTCCAGCAAATATTGTTCTATATTAAGCTGCATTCAGCTGAGCTGTTTTCTTTTATAGTAAAATAAAGCATGTCAGAATTGAAGCTTTAGAAATTTGTAATGCAAGAACCTTTTATGGGTATGAGCTAAAGTCCTGGAAAGAAAAGGCTGCTGACATGAGTGCTGACCACATCACCCACCATGTGCTGATTGCTCAATAAAATATAGGTCTAGCCCTGTATGCCCAGTGCACGCGAAGGCATGAAAAAGGTCCTTTACTTAACCAGATTGGCTGTAGATAAGGCTAATCACACCCTGCAAAAATTATGTCAATTTATGAAAGTCTGTTTGTTAGTTCTTCTACGAGCTTGACCAAAAAGGTTGTAAATGAAGTGTTCTGCCAAAGTTTAGGTGAAAACACTTCTTAATATTTGTGTCTTTTTATAAATCATCATTATCCTAGTGTGCTCTTATAAATCGCATAGTCATACATTTGGTTTTATCCTGAGAAATCCTTCCAATATCGTGTTTGAAATTGAGTCCCGCCCCTTTGGCCTCTCTCATCAACATCCATATTAGAGTTTCTCATGGAACTCCTCATTTCCCTAATACATTTGTATAAATACTTTATATTTATAGCAATAATTCCTCATGTTGTTAGTTTATGCATATCATCAAGATATTAGTTGTGTTTTCTTCTTAAAGTACAGTAGAACCTCGCTAAATGAGCACTCTCATAATGAGTCATTTGCATAACGAGCAAAACAAATTGTAATAGAAATACTTGCTTAACGAGCAACGTTTTGCATAACGAGTGGGGAGGAAAGGGGAAGTCCCAGATTGTGCGCATGTTACATCAGTTTGTGTTTAACACTCGTTCCAGTTGCATCGTAGTGTCGCTTATGATCCCAAAAATTTATCAAACTTGTGTTATATTGTGATATATGTACATGAATCCTCCAGGCCTACAAGATGACCTCTCGGAAGAATTTAAGTTCATCAAGATCCAGTTTCTGCCTGCATACACCACTCCGTTACTTCAGTCTATGGATCAGCAAGTTATTTCTAATTTTAAGAAGCTCTACACT